GTTTTTTTTTATCGCTGTCTCTGTCGTTTCCAGTTCTGGCACACATTCCATTAATATTTATACTATAAGTATTTCCATTTATCCTCTAGTGCATTTTTCAACATGCAACATACGCACTTGGCAATTGCTCCACATTTTCAAATGTCACTTCCAAAATTTATTTTATGGCAGGCAACTTTATGACTTTAAACGATAATTTGAGCCCGTTGGTAAGTTTTTGGCAGTGTTATGGCAGAATTTGTAGTTTGAGTTTGAGTTTTCAACGACACAATTAGCCTAACAGACTAGAAAGAGTGCTGGCAACAAAGTTTGGCCAACAGCAGACGATAAAACCTGCATGAAATGTGTCAAAGGAAGTTGTTGCTCATAATTAAACTGTTTCAAATAATAAAGCAACAGCAATAGCTGACGCCAAAGCTTTCACATAATCGAATTGTTGGTAGTCTTTTGTACTATATGCTCTATGCATTATAAAAAGTAATATACTACGAATACGATGCCTATTTTTATAATAACATTTTTTATACCTTGGCGATGGCTGAAAAAACCCAACACTTATCCATTACAAATCATTAATGGCATTCAATTGTTCTTTATTTGCAATCAATTCTTAATGTTTTAATTATTTTTATTATTATTTTCATAAACCATTTGAACTGATTTAAATTGTAGTATTATTGAGAATTGAGCCAATAAAAAAACCAAGCTAAAAAAACTAATTTTGCAAACAAAATAATTGATTTGTTTCCAATAATTGCTAATGGATGATTTGATTGAAAATGTGTTTCACTCTCATATTATAATTGAATTGCTATTTTAATTGGTACTTTAACAAATGTAACTTATACTTGTATTCCACTAATATTTGAATGTATTTGTAGGTTTGAAATGCTGCTTATTATTTAGTCAATTCACTTACGTTTTTGTATTCCGATTAAGCTGTTTCTTTATTTTCATTTTCTTTAAAAACCGAAACTAGCTTTTTTATTTAAAAACGAATAATGACGAAACCTTTTACTTTAAATTTAATTTTAACAACCGTTTTATTTATCAGGATTTTAAGAAGGTGTTAAATTAAATATGAGGGATAGGATTGATGATTCGGCTTTGTTTTTCCGTTGATCAGTAATTATGATTATAAAATTTCCATTTTTGGAGGGTTTATCATCTGCAGCACATTAATGATATTCTTTAGTACGGCAAATTAATTGAACAGTTTCAAAGAAGATTGATGAGAGAATCCATCATTCTCGTTTGCATAATATATTACTTTAAGTCGGCTTGAAATTAATGCCTGTGGTTCTAATATTTGAAGATGGGCCAGAAAGTTGTTGTTGCAGTTACCGTTGCCGTTGCATGTGAATGCAACTTATGACTAGCTAGCCTAACTAGCTGGTAGTTGTTGGCTCTTACTGACTGCCTGACTAGCCCGGTCTGAACATGTCTGCAATTTTAATGAATTTCGCTTTTTTGACAACACGGCAACGTGCGTACCCAGAGCACATAAACTTGATGCTGTTGTTGGAACTACTGCCGCACATGAAATAGTAGTAGACAGACAGATGGACAGGCGGGCAAACACAGGAGGAGGAATTGAGGCACGTGTTTTACTGCTAATCAGCAGACAAGCCAACGAGAGAAACTCGTCATCAGGTTTTGCTTTCAAGCCTCACACCAGGCATTGAGGCATCGTTTTTGCTTGCTTGGACTGGGAAAGTTTTCGGCGTTAATTTTAAGAGAGAAAAGTTCTGCTTTTGTCCATTTGAATCTTAAATATGCGTGTGTGGGTGATGGTGAAAAATCTCACATAAAATTAAATTTAAGTGTAAAACTTGACAGCAAATGGAAGCGTTTGCCAGTGGCAAAGCAAAAACGTTGCTTGGTTAGCTGGAAAGTTGAACAGCAGCTGAGAAGCACAGTTGGCGGTAAAATGAAATAAATTGCACGAAATGCATACCGAGTAGCGTTATATTTATATGTTTATATATATGCGTGCATTTATATATAAATATATACAAGGAGTGTTCCAAAGTAAACAGGACTTAAAAAAAAAACAAGAGAGAACGCTCCAGTCGAGCAAGCCCGACAGTGTAATACCCTGTACCCAGGTAAACTTCCGTCACTGAGTTATATGCGTCCATAGCAGCAGCAAAAAGAGGAAGAAGAAGAGCGAACTTGCTGCTGCAGTTTGAGGGGGTTGTACTGGCGAGAATTTGTTTTGCTAATAACTTTTCTTAGAATTGACCGAATTGAATAAAATTTTATACAACAGTAGACAATTATATATAAATTATGTGCACAGACTTTGGTTTAGGTAGCATTTGAAATGTGGACGCTATTGACGAAATTCTGTAGCGGGGGAAGGGGGAGGAAATTAAAAAAAAATAAAATAAACTCGTCCTTACTCGGACCTAGGAGAATCTGGATGCCAACTTTGGTTATTCTAGCTTTTATAGTTTCTGAGATCCTCGCGTTCATCCAGACGGACAGACAGACGGACGGACATGTCTAGATCGATTTCTCTCGTCATGCTGATCAAGAATATATATACTTTATGGGGTCGGAGATGCTTCCTTCTGTATGTTACATACTTTGCACAAACCTAATATACCCTTTTTACCCTACGGGTACAGGGTATAATAACAGAACAAATGGTTTTTTCGGCAAAATCAATTTATTTTATTCAAAATAGTCTCCTTCTGCTTCAATACAGCTTTTTGCACGATCCAAAAGCATGTCGAACGAGTGTTTTAGCTCGTTGGCCGGTATGGCTGTCAATATGCCGGTGCAAGCCTCTTGAATGGCCTCTACGTCTGCATAACGCTTTCCTTTCGTGGCAAATGCATTTTTCCGAAAAGGTAGAAGTCGCACGGTGCCATATCAGGTGAATACGGCGAGTGGTTAATGATTAAAATGTGATTTTTGGTCAAATAATCGGTCACAAGCGTCGATCGATGAGAGCAATTTTTGGTCGTCAGTCAATTTGTGCGGAACAAACCGTGCACACACCTTTCCTAAGCCCAAATGTTCGTTCAAAATGCTATAAATCGATGTTTTGGAGATGTTCAATTCCATTTCCATCAATTTCAATGATAATTTCGGCTGATTTTTGATTAATTCACGCACAGTTTCGATGGAATTTTCGGTGATCACGAATTTTGATTGGCCCACATGTTGATAGTCATTTATGTCCTCACGACCACTTTGAAAACGTTGAAACCACTCGGTTTCCGTAAAAGTTTTACCAATTTTAAAACAAAATTTAATGTTGGCTCTTTGTTCGAAGCTCATTTTCGCACCGATAACACAAACATACTGACACTTTAAACGCAATAACTTCACTTCCAATCGATGAAATGTCATGAAATTCTCACTGGACAATCGATAAAGATAGCAGATTCTAACGAACCAGTCGACATATAGATATTTTGAATCTAGCGCCCCTAGCCTGTTTACTTTGGAACACACCTTGTATATATATATATATATATGCAGTCACGGAAACAGGACCGGGAACTACCAACACCAGGATGCTTCGGTGCATTTCAATGACGCACACATACACACACACCCGCACACACGCTAAAGCTACCCTGCTGTCACACCCATGGCAAAAACAAAATTAAGGGAAGAAATCTTGCAAATGAACACAAAAATGCAAAAACTCTGTGTGCAGAAAAAAAAACCAAAACAAAAAAGAAATGGGGGAAACAACAAGTAAGCAGAAGAACAAAAATCTTTTGTATGCAACACAAAAGACGCAGTCGGCAGTGCCAGCAAAAACAACAACAATAGCAACAACAAAAACTGAATATAACAAGTAAAATAAAATGGGGGAGCAGGGCAAACAAGAGCTTGGCATCAGCCCAAGAGTCCAACTCGGTTCAGTTCAAAGCTTCGTTTTTCAGCTTTTTCGGCACATCCAATGCAATATTCAAAGTCTGCGCCTGCCGCTGCCACTCTCAGACCTCAGACCCCCCTATCCACTCACCACACTCCTACACTTGCAAGCTTCCACACTTCCTGTTTTTTACTCCCCTGCGCGGCACTCTGCTGACAGCTAGCTCGAACGTTAGCGAGTCAGCCAGTCATCTAGTCAGCCATCCCAGCGGTATTTGCTCCTGCACGACCCCTGCTGCCCAATACCAAAAGTCATTGGCCTCTTCGCTTTCGCCAATTTCGCTTTGCGCTGTCCTTAAGAGACGTTTAGACGGACCAAGAAAATTCAAATGCATTTCAAATTTTATGATCATGTGTTAATCTGGGATGGAACAGCTTCAAAAAGTTGACCCCTAAAAATACCTATACATATTCTAAGCTCATATCGTAGTACATTTTTAAGAAGAATTGTCTATTAAATCGTTTTTCATAGTTCGTTTTAAATTCATTTAATATATTACTATCTTTAATCTATATATTTTCTATCTATGTATATTTTATCTAGTTTATACATCTCTTCTAGCTTTCTTCTACCTATCTTCTATATACATATCTATCTATTCATTGTTTTGAAATTTTAGCAAATTGTAAAGCTCGGTCCCAGGATAAATTGAATCTACTCATTGATTCAATAATATAAATGGAAGTGATTTATATTGTATAACTTGTGGTAGGAAACACAGCATGTTACCATTGTATTGTTTATTTACTTGAGAAACGTATCCAATGGCATTCATTTAATCTTTCCGATGGTATTACACAATCTTAATTAATTAACCTTCCCGATCGAGCTATTTTTGTGTGATTGCGTCATGTTTGATCCGCGCCTTTCATTAAATTGTAGGTTTATGTTATGTTTTGTGTATTTCAGATATTTAAGAATTTCTTTTCCTGCCTTCTGCCTCATTGTTGCCAAAATAAAGTTATGACAGAACGATCTGTCTTCTGTTTTATGCAGTACTTATTCAGTTCTTACATCAGGGACAATCAAAAAAATTTTTTTAAATATAGATACAAATAAAATATTTATGTAAAAGTAGTTAAAACAGCATTTTTCTCACCTTCCACCAAAGAGTTGACAATTTCATTCAAGTATTATAATGGTTAAAAGAGCCCTTATATGTTTACCTGTATCTGTAATAAAGAAATGAAAATTAGCATTTATAGAAGATAACTCAGTCAAATATTTTATTTATGATCATATTTGATACAACATAACATTATTTAGATTATTTACATGTTTTTTCCACTTTTAACAAGTTTTCATATTGATATTGAGAAACTAATAAAACACATGAAATTTGCCGATCCAGTTTCTTAAATAAGATTGTTTGTCTTGTAGCTTGCTGCCTCCAGTTTTGAAAATAAATATATAATTCTAAATAAACGTGCATATCTTGAGGCACAATTATTAGAAAATGGAAAAAGGAATATGTTTCTTGCCGCAACACCAAATACGCATAATATTTATATATAAAAAATAAATGAATCTTTTTAAACAAACCGCTAAGCTTATAGTAAGGACATTATACACAACTCATTTAGTTGCGATAATTTCATAAACAAAAATAGTTATCATATTAACAGTGATTCTTTGCACCGATCCTGCCATAGGACCGGCAGCTTTATAAAAAAAATGACGTAATATGTATATATTGTAACAAATGTTGGAAAAACAAGTCTACATACAACATTTGGGATCTCTAACTGTTATGGTCCAAAAGTTCTAGTATAACCTGCCTTACAGCCTTCTCTAATTGAACAGACCTTTATGTACTGTATTGGAGGGATAGCTGCTTGATAATTATGGAAACTATTGAATAGATTTGGAATGTAAGTGCGGGCTTTTGTTCATCGGTCACATGATGTTAATCATGTGATAATTTGCTGCGATGCAAATGACAAACTGAGTCACAATCGGGTGTCGTGCCAAATACAAAATTGCAAAATACGAGCGCAATTATGTGAGTGTGCGGAAAAACAAATGCGCGAGCTCGCGTGCTAATTTGCATTGGGCATGGGCATGGGGCGAATGTGCGAAAATTATCATATGAAAGCGGCACGTCACGAAACGAAACGGAACGGTTAATAGAGACAAGAGGTGCCCAAGAAAGAGGGAAACGAGGAAGAGGCGGAGGGGATAGAGGTAGAGATGCAAGTCAAGCGTTGTTTCCTATCCGTACATCATAGCTTGCGATCTGAAATTGTTATCACACAATTCTTTCTTTTTCTTTGTTGTAGCACTCAATTCTTCAGTCAACGTATTCTTCTGAGTTGTTCTAATCACAATTAAAGTAGCGGTCGTACCGAGTGATGATCTGCGTGCTAATGAAATGCGTCATTAGCATTGTGTGGTTATGTGAACCGCTCTTACATAATTATTAATTATATGCTCATGATTTTAATTTGATTGCCAAACCACAAACAGAAATTGCAAAATTGTTCATGCATAGACCGCGCCGCACGAATTTAAATGATGTCTATTGTTGTAATCAGCATAAATAATAACAGGATTGCGGTCATTTTTAAATGATTATATTTTTAATCATAATTGAAAAACGCGCCTACAGCCATATAAATAATTAATACAATGGTTGCCACCACAACGACGACAACAAAAACAAGAGACATATACAAGTAGTACAAATAAATAATAAAAGGCAAACTCTAATGTTTATTAGTGTGTTATAGGTATGTATGTACATACATATAACAAATAAACAAACAGCAAAACCAACAGCAACAACAACAACAACAATAGCCAAGGCTGTCGCGCATTTAAATCGCTGTCTGTCCCCTATAACCCCCTGCCCTCGAACTGAAACTGAAACGACAGACGCAGACGCAAAACCGACCAACTGACTGACTGCCAATAAGTGGGGGCCAACACTTGTGTCTACAATGGCACCAAATGTACACACACACACACATATAAGCACACATATGTGCGTGTGTCAAACTTCATTTAAATATTATGACGATGTATTATTGACTGTGTGTGCTTCTATCTACATACAATACACATACACACTATATGTTTTAATTTTGCCTGCTCGCGCGTTTCTCGATCGAAACGTTGCTACCTTCTAAAAATAAATATCGAAACGCTTTGACGTCACTGTGACGTCATTTGAATATAGCCAGACAACAATAATAACAAACGAAACAACAATCAGACTAATGGCAACAAAGCAAGACATTCATTTAATCATAGGTAGCTAAGATTTATACATAAGTGTCTAATCAACTTAAAAACACAACAACTTGGTCGTAACAACAGCAGCAGCAGCAACAACAACAACAACAACAACAGCCCCAACAACCAGTCTCAGTACCTACTCCTTTGGCAACTCGTTACGTTCCGCCGCTCGTGGCAATCTTTGGACGAACGAGGTAAAGGAAGGGGGCAGGGGTGGCTCAATTACAAAGATTTGGACGCTAAAACGGCATACATTAATGTTTTCATTTAAAACGATTGTATTTGTATTATTACAGCATTCAATGAAATAAATATTTGAATTACGTGCAACTGGCCCAAGCAATATTTTTATTAGCTAGTCTCTCAGTTTACTATATAGGGTGCTTGTTTTTATATCCACACTATTATTTCGATAGTTCGTAATGAGTCTAATCCTGCTAATTAGACGGACAATAATGTGAAGAAGGTGCTGTACGCTCTTCTCCTCATCTCTACAGCTTAGCCATAAATCAATAAACGGTCTGTCAGTCAGTCAGCTCCTCATATACCTTGACAACTTAATTTTTTTTTTACTCAAAACTCAATATTCGGACACACAGATTAGAGCTCCACATGTAATATACATAAGTCTGTCATGGCGAGACAAATCGATATAAACATGTCCATCTGTCTGTAAGATTCCCACTGCGAGAATATATAAAACTATCTCAAGACTAGTCTTTAAGCATGCAAATAAATAGGAAGAGAATTAGGAATTAGATTAGCAAGATAGAGAAGTCTGAACTATACATATATCATATATATCTATCTGAAAGATTCATATTATTAAAAGTTATAGATGTTTAGCAAAAGTAATGGATTTGCTAGTGAATTTATCAGTCTAAAGTAAAACAACATACTCGTATTAAAGTACTGGTTTAGGCAGTGATATGAAGATGTCTGAAGTAAAACAAAATATCATCAAGCTAATAATACTGATGATTAAGTTATAGACTATTTGCCAAAGTAGTGTATTAGCTAGTGATATAGAGTAGTCTTAAGTATTATAAAATATTAAAGTAGTGGATTAGCTAGAGATGTAAAGAAGTCTAAACTATAGCATTATATCATTAAGTATTACATGATTTGCCAAATCAGTGGATAAGCTAGTAATATAAAAAAATCTGAAGTATAAAAATATTAAGATCATACATGGAACTTCCCATTTAAAAGAGGAATAAAACATGTTTACCGGCGACCATTCACCCATATAACTAAACATATAATATTGTTCCAGGCACACTTATTTCATTTATTATTGTTCACTTATTATTATTGACAATTCATTCAATAAGGCACCCTATACTACTATTGCATGGGAATATCTTAACAGACACGCCTTCTTCAGCGCCCTCGTCGTGTCACTATCTAGAAACGCATCTTAAATAATACTATACCAGCCGACTCTGCCTTATGCTCCCCTCTGCCCCCGATTTTATTTATGTAGTTTTATTTCACACAAATTGCGGTAATTATAAGCGGCTGCTGTTGTTTAATTGATTTTTCAACACAAAGTGCATGCGATATTTAATGTAAATAAACTTGGCGTATTTATTTTTGATTCGTATTTTTTCGCATTATTATGATTATTATTTTTTTGGCACAAGGCTGCTGATTGCGTAAAATGTGTTGGTAAATGTGTTGGTGTTGTTGCTGCTGTTCATTCACATTTGCTTAAATCGCGTCTGGGGCGACGTTTTACTTGTATATGCACGGCGGACGAATGGATGGACGGGCGGCTGGACAGTCGATAGGACTGGGTCGCTTGGACGTCTGGTCAAGCGCCTCATCGCCATAAACCTACATACATATAAACAAAAAACATTGCCAAAAGCTGTGTACACTGTTTATGTAGATAACATTTTGTAATTGTTGTTAATATTAAAAATCAAATAGACGTGCAAGCTGCAAGTACGTTGTTGTTTATTATATACAGAATTACCATATGCATGTTAATAACACGAGATTTATTCAAACGAAAATAGGCCTTATAATTTATTTTCAGAATTAAATTCGCTAAACAAATGGGTTTATGTTTACTTAACTGTGAAATTCTACGAAACTTTGTCGTTGCAAATATAAATTGTTTAAGATAGCTTGATTTCTAGCCGGAATGCTTTAAAAACAACAACGCTATAGTCAAGCATACTATACCCAAAAATACTTTTTCACTATCAGAAGCTAAGTTAATGAACAAATGTCGTAATATGTTTAAGCTTCGATAGCCCCTTAATTAAAAGAAGGGGAAAAGAATGGTAGAGTAGTGCGGACTCGACTCTTAAAACCCCTGTACCCAGACACAAACGACAAAATACTAATAATATTAAAATTTGTGTATTGCAGTTAAATTGTAAAGTTGAAATGAAACACTATACAACTAGAAAAATCTGATTCTATAGCCAATTAGCGATAAAACTAAATATAATATACGCGCCCATCATCAACTTCACAGACCTAACCAAACCACTTAAAAAACAACAACTATAAATTAAACACACTTCTGGTACAAACAATCAAATCAAAAAGCAAACAATATTTAAAAAATAAATGCCAAACTTGAAACTTTCTGGACTCGAACAAATGAAATCAACAAGACACAATCCTAACAAATAAACACTATGTCGTTCCGACTATGTAATTGCACTGCCTTAATAAACAATGTACACAATATTCTCACGACCTGCTCAGTACATTCCAAACATGGATCCCATTTTCCCACTTAATGAAGACCCACTTCTACTTATCTAAAACCCTACTTAAGAAACACTGTATTAATTGTATATTTTCCAATAAATATTGTTCAAAATGTTCTGAATGATCTGAATTCCAGGAGTACAAAAGTATCACGAACTGTCTTTGTATAAATTTATAAATACAAAATTTGATTAGGAGTTTT